AAAAATCACTCTGTATACAATGTATTTTATGGTTGCATTTTTCAAGTGAATTTTATTAAATAATGTGATTTTTGTTTATATTACTCAATTATCTCAAAAAAGGTCTCGCTGCATTTAATGAGATCGTAAACAAATATTATGTATCATTGATGCGCTGTAAGTTGCATTGAAATAATTTGGAAACTATTAGATAATAGTTCTATTTAAAACAATTTTTAATATTTAACTAAAAATTTTTGTTTGTAAATTTCAATCATTTTTTTCAACTAATTTATGTTTTGTATAACAACATAATTAATTGTAATAATATTTATTATAATAAATATATTTTTATTAATAAAAATATATATTAAATATTTTTTTTATGTTCATAAGTTAATAAGGAAATCTCACTCAAACATGAAGGAGCCTTAGCTCCCTATTTCCGATTATAGCTACTTCTACGAATAATTGATTTGTTTAATGAATTTATTTAATTAAAACGATTTTAATTCAAAATTATAATTAGGTAAATATGTTTGTCTAAAAGGTAAGTGTAAGGGTCAAACCTTTCTTTTGTTATTTATGACCGTCCGTTCAATCGACCGTTCGCTAACGGATGGTTTCTATTATCCGTTGTGACGAACGTTTTTTATTGTTTTGAACGGTCGTCCGTTCGATGTTTCATACGTTCCGAACGTGTTCACGAACAACGTTCGCCATATAAACCTATATAAAATAAAATCTGAACGTATACGTTCGTGAACGCACGATTCAAAAATAGACCCCCTGATCAGTGAGTCTATTTTTCAATTGTCCGTTCACGAACGTATACATTCAGATTTGATTTTATACTGAGTGTTCAGTAAGTAAGGAAACGGATTATTTTTGTTATTATTGTTTGTAACAATTGACATGTTTCCTTACATACTGAACTCTTAATATAGATTTATATGACGAAGGTAGTTCATGAACACGTTCGGAACGTATGAAATATCGATAGGATGGTCATTTTTAACAATAGAAAGATTTGGCCCTTATACTTAAACGTTTTAGGTAAACATGTTTACCTAAAATATAATTTTTAATTATCATCGTATTTAATTAATTGTTATATTAATTAATAATATAAAATAAATAAATAAAATAAAATTATAATATAAAAATATTTGTAGAACTTTATTTTCTAAAATTAAAATATTGTTGTTTAAAGTGCATTAATAATTTTTAATTCAACATGTTAAACGGGGATATAAAAGCCGTTAGACAACATAGTAATGTAACAGCAAATCAAGTCGCACATGTCCTTCTCGAAAATGGTAAACCTGAAAACAAAACAAAAAGAATACCAACGTACAAGGACAAAGAAAATAAAAGATCACTTATCCAAGCAGACTTTAGCAAAGAGGATTTAATAAATGCAATAAAACGGACGAAAGAAGGTAAAGCACCCGGAATAGATTTAATACAAACAGAATTAATAAAATAGAAATTGATATTGAAGTTTCTTAAAGAGTGCCGTAAAACATCAAAAATCCCAAAACAATGGCTAAAGGTAAAAGTAACAGCACTGGCACTTCATCTGGTCCCACTGCTTTATTTTTATTCATTGATGCCACAGCCTCCGATACCTCTTTCTCACTAATTAAATCTACCACTCCCTCATTCCACGAGATATCCTCTAACGATTCTTTTGGATACTCCTCATTCAGTAATTTTTCAAAATACTCTTTCCACCTTTTTTTCGCATCATCATCACTCCAGAGTACCCTATTATGAGCACTTTTTATACACCTTACATAACGATAATCTTTAAACCTTTTCTCTCTTATCTTTGCAAGTCTATAAATTTCTTTCTTGCCTTTGTTCCTAGCCTATCATATAACTCATCATACTTCTTTAACTTCGCCTTACTTTCTGCACACTTGGCTTCATTGCACAAGCGTTTATACTCCATCCAATCTTCTCTCCTTTTGCTCTTCTGCCATACTTAGAATTGCATTTTTTTACTTTATATGATTATTTGAACGTCCTCATCCCACCAACAGGTTTCCTTGTTTCCTGGCATTCTACTCCTATTCTCACCAACAATCTCCTTTGCAATATTCTTAACACAACTAGCAAATCTATTCTACACGGTCCTCTCTTTTATCGTCTTGAAAAACTCTTTTTAATTTTCCCCTTTCAATTTCCACCAACGGATTTTCAATTTTTCTCCCGTGTTCCTTCTGTTTTTGTATATTTTTTACGCAGTACACCAAAACTCCATTACCATCCAGGATTCTTTCTCCAGCCTCATTCTTACCGCTAAAACCATACCCTCCATGTACTCTTTCATATCCTCTCCTCTCATTACCTACATGTCCATTCATATCTCCACCTAACACCGCATCCTCATTGCCAGGTATCCCTTGCATCACCTCATCCATCTCTCTCCAAAACACTTCCTTGTCTATTTCATCACATCCTACTTGTGGTGCATAGACACTTATTACATTAAGCACTTTTTCTTCGAATATCAATTTCACGACTATAACCCTATCACTTTTCCTAGCTACTTCTACTACTTAATTTTTCATCTCCTTATCCATTATTATCCCTACACTATTCTTTGTACTAGACTTACCTTAGTATTTTACTTTATAACCCTCACTTATTTCCCTAGATTTCTCTCCTTTCCACTTAGTTTTCTGTACACAACAAATGTCAACTTTTCTCCTCTACAATACTCTTACTAATTCTCTACTTCTACCGGTTAATGTTCCAACATTCCAAGTACCTATTCATACTTTGTATCTATTTTTTTCCTACCTCATACACTCGTCCAGCCTAGAGTTCAGTGGTGATGTCCCTACACCGTTGACACTACAAGCGTTGGGTAGACCTGTACACATAACTGGTGAAACATCTACCGCACAAGTTGTCCGGCTGGTATCAAACACTTTATTCCTTAGGCCTTCTCTGTTTTTGACTACTTTCTGTTGTCCCCGCGTACATCCGAGATGGGACAATCCGCCTAAGTTTTGTTTAGGATTCCCACACTTTTTTGACAATAGTTTTTACACCGGCTGTCGACCTGACGCAACCTCATTAGTTGCCTCTTACGACTGGCAGAGGGGCCGTGGAAGTATTCTTAGCCTCTATCCACAGGGAAAATTAGTGTAATTAAATTATTTATATAATTATTATAATAAATTGCAAACAATCGTTTAACATAAAGTTTCATCGAATAATATCTAGAAGGTCTAATATACCTAATAGAACAATAGAATACGTTTGACAAACTTATACGTTGGTGGAAATATAGAATTTTGACCCTATACCAAATAAAACAATAAAATCCGGTCGACGAACGTATTCGTCGACACTTTCTACCGTATCTTCCAAATACATTTTGAAACGTATCCGATTTAGTTTAACTAATGAGATGCAAATTATTTATCATATATAGAAATTTCACATACAAATAACGGAAAAACAACTTTTCCTATTTTTTTTTTATTTAAAACCCTTTCTAGTATTAATAGGAGGGATTTAGAAATGTAATAGTTTAATACTCCCCTTAGTTTTAGTTATTATCGAGGTAGACATAATGCCCATGCACTGAGACCTGTTGGTCCATTATGCGCACCTCATACCGAATTGTCTTGATTCGGTTTACCCACCTAAATGTTATCACCAAAGTGTTAATACATTACCAACCATATAGTCACCTTTAAAGATGACCAAAGAGTCCTGTCTTTCTGGCGAAATTAAGTATCTCTCTGGGTTTTAGGTTTTTAATATCTAATCCTAACCCAAACATACCAAGTGAAAGGGTTGCTAACTTGTCACAGAGTAGTTAGCCGAAAGGTAAAGTGACCATTGGGATCCTCTATGGCATCTGGCACACCACAGACCCCGACTGGTCTACTGACAGGACATGGTCACCTGCTTAAACATCTTAACGCAATGGGGGTATCGGAATAACCATTGTGCAGGCAATGTGGAATAGAAGAAGAAGACTCATTTCACATCATGTGCGAATGTGAAGCCTTGTCCTCACTAAGATCAAACTATTTGAATAAACCTTTTCTTGAAAAAGAAGATATTAAAAACTAAACATCATAAATCTAGTAATTATTTTTCTTTACATTTTTTGTTATATGTTTATAATAAGAAAGAAATAATAATACAATTTTGTGTAACCATTTTATTGTAAAAACTGTTTTACGAGTCGATAATAACTTTAGGATAAGTACTTATTAAGTTATAAGCATTTTAATAAATAGAGTAGTTATTTGACACATGTGTATTAAGTTCGTACTAGTATATATTTATAATACTCAATCCGCCCAAATATAAACTATTCTAATTTATTAAAATTCTTATAATTTAATAAGTACTTATCCTAAAGTTATTAATGACACATCAATTTCTTATTTGCAATAAAATGACTAGAATATTTTATTTATTAATGTCAACAGCAACATGTATTATTATATTTTTCTTATTCGAAAAGAAATAATAAGAAATATTATTTGAACATAGTCCAATATTGTAAAAAATAATTTAAAAAAAGTAACACAAAATATTAACTAGATCAACAGTTTATAAAGATGTCCACTCGGTGAGACATCCTGTAAGTCATTTATAATATTTTTGAAAAATTTGTTATTATTTAGTAAATATACTTAAAAATGTAGAACAGTATCTGTTCAACATTCTGTGGTAGAATGAATACCATACTTAAAGTTAGCATTTTTGTTTTATTTCAAATTGCAATATAATGCTAAATAATAAATGAATCAAAAATATTAGTAAATTAATTTTGAACTTATTCTTATGCTATTTATTCTAAAAAGCATTAAAATAATTTTGTCAGTCACAAATTTTTCATGAAATAAATTATATACGAGTAATAAACAAAAGTATAATAATAGAAANAATTTTTCATGAAATAAATTATATACGAGTAATAAACAAAAGTATAATAATAGAAAATCTACCTTATAAAATGAGCTGACTTTTAAACATATTTTTATTTAATTATAATATTTTTTATTCTTATTAAAAATTCCTAATAATTAAAAAATATGATTTTCAAAATTGTTTTAACAATTATATTATTTAATGTCACACTGGTAAAATGTGATAACAAACGAAAACATTGCAGTTATTCTAAATATATGTGGAACTATTTTAAACTTAATGAACATTATTTGTTACAAATGTATAAAAATATTGAAATTTATACTGAAGAAGATTTAAAAAAATATGGACGAGCTATTCAAACTCATGGAGATGTTGTATTATTAATGATTCAAGATCTACTGAAAATTGATAGTGATCATTTTCCATATGACTTAATGTCGGTAAATTTGTATTTAAATAATAATTCTGGTTCGATAAATGTAATGTATAGATATGAGACAAGTAATAATATTGGATATAACAAAGTTTTTCTTGGTATACAAGGTTTAAGATTACAAAATTATTCTATGATGGTACAGTTAGAACGTTATATCGATTCTTATTGTTCTATTGAACAAATTGCAGAATTTGTCGAGTATCCTAAAAATAACATATCGAATGAATTAAATATTGATAAAATAAACATATTTACAAATGATTTAAGAGAAAAAATGATTAAAGAAATAAATCCTGAAAAAGTTGACATATATAAAATGACATTATACCATCCTTTAAATGTGTTGTTTTATAATATAATGTTAAATGAGTCTGATATATATGCAGTGAAAGGTACTGAATCAAGACAACATCAAGAATTTGACGTTGATGGTAATCCAAAAAATATTTTAGACCTTCTTCGATTTGCTCCTCTTGATATACAGTGTACTGATGATACTAACTTGACTGTACATGATATATTTCGTTTTATGAAGTATCAATATTTGTGCATTGATATGAGAGCATTCCAAGTACTTTTACTTGGTGCATCATTTTATCCTGTTGGAATACTTATAGCTAACTACGTACATTTAGTATCCGAGATAATTCAAAATGATATAAATATCCAAAATTACGAGGAGGAAGACTTTATATCTATACAATGTTTGGGTGAAAAAGTTAAATTCACTCTTCAAAGTTTTATTAAATTAGAAATTTTTATAGATCCAGCAAAAAATTTTTTTGTATCACTTCTTAAGCATTTATATGTAATTGTATATTGGTGTCGTGGCACACGTACTTTAGATAAATTATTACCAAGTACAATCTTAAAAAAATTAAAAGATTTTATGTATAATATTATGTTAAAGTTCAATGTAAAATTAGAAACAATAACAGAGGAAAATCTAATAGACATACATAAAACTATATTAAAAGATAATGCTCTAGTTGATTTATATCTTCAAGAACTCAGCTATTATAGAAATTCATTTTATTTGATTTATGTCATACAGCCAGTTGGAAGAATTAACATTAAAGACTTTAAATTCCTTCTGACACCAAATTTAATTGGTAAGCTTTAATATAGTAAATACATTACGTTACTTTAATTTATGAACAATGGATAGATTTTAATCCTATTATAACAAAGTTTTTTTTTGTAAACTTTATGTAAAAAATATTTTGAAATAGTAATTTTTTAGATTAAATTTTAAGAAAAAATATGATATTTAAATTTCTTGTTGATGTTTTTAGTTAAAATATCTATAGTAAGTTGTTATTGATAGCTTATAAACATTATCATTCTTTAGTAAAAATCCATATTATAATTATAAGTAAAATTATAAGAAAAATTAAAATTTTACAAATTATAATACACTAGATATTTAACAATAAAATAAGAAATTTCGGTATGCAATTTTTTCTTATCATTTATTTTAAAAATTAGCTAATCAATTTTAAAAACATTATACGTTAATTTTTAAAATTTTATATACTTAAATAAATCAAAAAAATATTATTAACAGGTGATTCTTTCAACACTAAAAAATAATATTTCTTAAATTATGACAGAAATCTAATTATGATTAGTGTCGCGAGGTGTAATATATAGAAGTAATAAACACTTTTAAGATTTAATAACAACTATACTATATTACAACGAACTAACAAATAACAGCGAGAGACGAACTGTATTACAACGAACTAATAAATAACAGCGAGAGACGAAGCGCGTGTAAGACAGATTGCGTAAGTGATTGACTGATCGACTGACTGACTGGAGCGACGATCTTGCCCTTAAATAGTCAGAGGAATCTTCTAGAGGCGGCGTCGGAACTCTCTAGACATTCGACCGCCACACGCTTATGTAGAGCGACGAATCTTCTAGAGGCGGCGGCGGCCGGACATTCTAGAATATTCGACCGCCACACCACCCCCCTACGGAGTGGAGTTAGCTAGGGTCAAAAATGTCCGGGAATCTGACTCGGCGGCCTGAGCGAGTTGTTCGTACTGGCTGTGTTGATGGATCGGTATTAGGCGGTTGTTTCTGTTTGGTCGTATCCGGGGCAGTTGCTGGTGGAGCATGTGCCTGGCTAACGGTTGTGCTTTCGTTCACCATGAGGTAGGCAGGTTTTACTCTATCAATCGTCACCGTAACTGATTGATTTCGAACTTTTATTGTGAACGTTTTGTCATTTCGGGCAATTACTTCGAAGGGACCTTGATATGGCGGTTGAAGTGCTGCTCGGACACCTCCCTCCCTGAGAAATACGTGTGAACAGTCCTTAAGGTCCGCAAAAACAAATGATCGTGGATTTGAGTGGCGAGATGCAGGTACTGGACGAATTTTATTCATAACACTGCGAAGACGATCTAGTAAGCTAGTAGGGTCGTTCGTACTGCTATTATCTTGCTTGTCTGTGAAGAAATCACCAGGAAGATTAAGAGGCTCACCATAAACAAGTTCCGCAGACGTGGCTTTTAAGTCTTCCTTAAACGCAGAACGTATTCCGAGAAGCACGATAGGCAGTGACTCAGTCCACGAGTCTTTTGCGTGGGCCATGATGGCTGCCTTTAGTTGTCGGTGCATTCGTTCGACGAATCCGTTTGCAGCAGGATGCCAACTGGTAGTGGGGCGAAGCGTAAAACCAAAACGTTTTGCTAAAGTTTTTAAAGTAGCTGAAACAAACTGAGTACCACGGTCAGTCGTAACGTATTGAGGTACTCCGAAGCGTGAAATCCAGCAATTGAGGAAACCCTTAGTGACATCGTCTGCTGTTATACGTTCGAGTGGATACACCTCCGGCCAACGGGTGAAACGATCGATTACCGTCAGACAGTACCTGAAGGACTGTGATGGCGGCAATGGACCGATGATATCGACATGAACATGTTTGAATCGGCGTGAAGGTGTTTCAAAGTTTCCCAGTGGGGCTGAGACGTGTCGGCTTATTTTCGATCGCTGACAGTGGACGCAGGCACGTGCCCAGGAACGGCAATCCTTTTTCATTGCTGGCCACACAAATCGTTCTGAAACTAAGTGAGCTGTTGCGCGTGCACCGGGGTGACTAAGGTTGTGTAACTGATCAAATGCGTGACGCCGGAATCGTTGTGGCAAAAATGGTCGTGGGCGTCCTGTTGACGTGTCGCAATAAATATAGATTGAAGATCCTGGCACTAGTACCTTCTCCAAATGAAGAGATGAATTGTTGTCAGTAAAATGTTTGAGTTCATCATCCGTGTCTTGAGATGCAGCAAGAGCTCGGTAGTCCAGCGGGAGAGACACAACTTCAATGCGTGACATTGTATCCGCGACGATATTTTCATCACCTTTAATGTGTTGAATGTCGGTGGTGAATTCGGATATGAATGTCAACTGGTTGAGTTGCGTAGGAGGTATCTTTTCTCTCCGTTGGGTGAAAGCATATACGAGTGGCTTATGATCGGTGAAAATGGTACATGGTTGTGCTTCGACAATGTGCCTGAAATACTTCACCGATTCATAGATGGCAAGCAACTCACGATAATACGCAGGCCACGCACTTTGTTTCACCGACATTTTCTTTGAAAAAAATGCTATGGGTTGCCAGATGTTATTGACTCGCTGCTGCAGACATGCGCCGATAGATTGGCTAGATGCGTCTGTGAATAGTCCAAGTCGTGCGGCTGGATGAGGATGTGCTAAAAGAGTAGCGGTCGCAAGACTTTCTTTGCATATGGTGAACGCTTTTTATAACTCGGGAGTCCATTCTATCGGTTGGGAACCTTTTGTCTTCGGGCCTTTGAGAATACCGTGAAGTGGTGCTTGCAGGTCGGCAGCTTTGGGAATAAACCGGCGATAAAAATTTACCATTCCCAAAAACCGGCGTAATCCTTGCATAGATTTTGGCAATGGATACTGTCGTAGGGCTTCGACGCGTTCCGGTGGCGGGCGGGTGCCTTCAGAAGATACTAGGTAACCTAGAAATTTCACCTCAGCCGAACCTAATACACATTTTTGCGGGTTAACGACAACACCGTAGTCAGAAAGTCTCCCGAAAAGAGTGCGTAAATGCTGTTTGTGGTCCTCTTCCGATTTAGAGAATACCAAAATGTCATCAATATATGCATAACAGAAGTCCAACCCATTGGTAACTTCGTCTATGAAGCGTTGAAAAGTTTGTCCAGCATTTCGCAATCCGAATGTCATAAAAGGAAATTCGTAAAGTCCGAATGGAGTGGTAATGGCTGTTTTGCATATATCGTCCGGATTAACAGGTATTTGATGGTAAGCCTTTACCAGATCGATTGTGGAAAATAGCGTGCAATTAGCCAGGTTGTGCGAGAAATCATGTATGTGTCTGACTGGATAGGAGTCTGGTATAGTTCGGGCGTTCAGCGCGCGGTAATCACCGCAAGGACGCCAGCTGTTCTCCCCTTTCGGTGCTAAATGTAATGGTGAAGACCACGGACTGCTTGAAGGTCTAGCGGTACCTGCCTTGACCATTTCCGCGAATTCCTGTTTGGCGATTTTTAGTCTACCTGGAGCTAAGCGGCGTGGGCGGCAGGCTATTGGCTGACCAGGTGTCGTAAGAATGTGGTGCACTGTTTGATGTTTTATTGTCCTGGGCAATCCGGTGGGACGTGTGATGTCCGGAAATTCTGCGAGAAGTGCAGCCCAAGGGGAAGTGTTGGCAACTGATTTTATGCTGCATTGATTTACAGAGGAAACCTTACCATTCACAGCCAAGCCTGTGACACCATCAATAAGACGTTTGGTACGGCAATCCGGCAGCAAGTGGTAGTATGCCATGAAGTCGGAACCAATGATAGGAGTACTCACGTCGGCGACAATAAAACTCCACGGGAAACTGCGTCGAAGTCCTAAATTCAAATTGAGATGGACCGTCCCGTAAGTTTTTATGGTACTGTTGTTGGCCGCGCTGAGGTCGTAATCGGTGGCATGGCGTCGTTCCCGTAGTAGCCGTTGAGGGTAACAAGATAAGTCGGAACCGGAGTCGACTAAAAATTGGCGTTTTGTTATTTGATCTGTAACAAACAGGCGGCTGCTCGGGTTCGGACAGTCTGTTGCCGCCGCTACTGACTGTCGTTGGAGTTTTCCTGATACTTGCAGGGAGCCTTACATTTGGCAGCCTTTTCTCCATAAGTGCTATGATACCAACACCATCCTTTGCCGTTAGTCAGTTCCACGTTTGAACGGTTACGTGACCTAGAGCGGGAACGTTGCGGGCGTTTAGCACATAATTCGCTTACCTGTTTTGCGAGTGCTTCAATGGCGGCTAAAACATCGAGTTCCTTTTTATTGTTCGTCGTGGCAACAGCATGGACGAATTGCGAGGGGGCTGGCTGCACTTCAACAATTTTGTCAGCCAGCTCGGCTACCTTATCCAGAGGAAGCTCTGATTGTGCGGTTAAAATAGCTTGTGCATGTGATGGTAGACGGCGGAGCCAAAGTTGACGTAAAATATTGTCTTGTAATGTAGTAGTGCCGGCAAGGGAACGGAGATGTCGTAAGAACTGTGATGGCTTACGGTCACCTAGTTCTTCTTCATTGATGAGTTGCCGCACACGTTGTTCTTCTGAGATAGACAACCGTTCAACGAGTTTTGCGCGTAGATGTTTGTAGCGTTCAGTAGGCGGTGGGTTAGTAATAATATCCTCTACTTCGGCGGCGTAACGCGTATCAAGCTGAGCCACAACATAATTAAATTTTGTTTCCTCACTTGTTATTCCCGAGATTGCAAACTGCGAGTCAACCTGTGAGAACCATAAGCTCGGTCTTTCGGACCAGAAAGGTGGCAACTTGACGGCAACGCGATTCACTGAAGCTGTTGGATATTGCTGTGCCTGTAGTGCTGCAAGGCGAGCGTTTTCTTGGCGTAACTCCTCCAATTGATTGCGTAGTTCTTCGGCGTTCATACTTGTTATCGTCGAGGTCACCAATGTCGCGAGGTGTAATATATAGAAGTAATAAACACTTTTAAGATTTAATAACAACTATACTATATTACAACGAAATAACAAATAACAGCGAGAGACGAACTGTATTACAACGAACTAATAAATAACAG